GGCGGGGTGACCACTGCCGCCGTTTCGGGCGCATTCAGGGGGCTCATAGAACCTCGGTCGGCTGACTAGGAGGCAGCCGCATGGCTTTGGATGGCGATGGGTACCAACTTGTTTACATACAAGAGTGGTAACATGATTAGTCCAAAAGTCATGCACGAGATGAGCGACGACACGACTCGAGTTGGGACTTTCTCCCGGGGATCGGCTGCACTGGCATACCTATACAGACAGTTAGGTATTGCCAGCAGGGAGGATGCTATGGGACTGACATGCTGCTTGGCTCTCCTGCAGTCCTGGATTTACGAGTACTTCATGCCCTTTCGACCCCACTCAGAGCCTCGGCCAGCAGATTGCGCTGTCGCACGTTCTGCCTCGTGGGGCACGCTGGTGACTCAGAGGTTCGTAGAGCGCCTTGAAGGTTACCGTGTCGCCCTTGACTAGCTCAGAGTGGACCAGGTACGTGAATGTTATAAGTGTTATTTATATTTTGTTAAATATTATTTTTTAAAAAATATGAGAGTTATAATAAATGTTTTTGTGCAATTTTGAACAGGTGAACTGGTTGTCGTACGGCCGCAACCTTGCTGATATCCAGGCTATGACCCTCTATGTCGGGTACATTAGGTACCGCGACATCGTGGAGCCCTACAAGCCTCTGTGGTTGTTACGTCAGCTGGGCTACACCTAACTATCCCTCACGGCATCCGTCGGCCATCCACTATAGTACGGGCTTAGGAGTCTAGGTGCTACAAGGTCGAGCACTCTGTAGAAGCTGCAGAGGAATCCTGGAACGAGTTCCCGCAGCTGTCGGCTCTCAACCTGGCTGTCTACACCCCCACCACAGTTACACTAGGGGAGGTCGAGCCGGCGTACTCCGAGTGGAGCTCGGGTTTCTCGTCCGAAGCTGTTGGGTGGCGATCCGACGGAGCCTCCCCCAGTCCCTTCGCGCGTCGACGCCTCTTATGTAAGTCGTTTACTTAATTTTTGTTCCCAATGTGTGCTTTTATTATAATATTTATTTATTGTAACTCTTCGCTTTGTGGATAGTGGCTCAAACGTTACGACGACGTCCACTCTGTGTACATGCCGCGAGTCGAGCGTGTTGATCCTGATTTGGCGAAGGAGTACGCAGACGCTCTATCCGTAGTTAAGGCGGATTGGGAGAGAGCGACGCGGCATTGATGTTTGATGTAAATAATGTTGTGTTTTTTTTATTTTATTTACTGTACGCTCGACTTTTGGTTGAATTATTTTTTTTTATATGTCGTTACTCATTCACATTATGTTTTTATATTTTTGATATGCTATACTATATTATAATTAAAAAAATACATCATAATCAACGTATACGTACTCAAAATCGAAGTCCATGACATACATAAGTTCAAACTAACGTATAATCACAACCGAATATTATAAGAATATCAAAACCTAGGTGTATCACGAATTCTGATCCACACATCTATTCTATTGTTGTAGTAATTCTCTCAACCGACAACCGATGCATCTCGAAGTGCCGTCCAATAAGGGTATATAGGCGGTATCGGATGGCCGTGAGTCAAATTAACACGAATGTAGTGTGGGTAACAACCAAGATGACACAAGACGATCTCGCGCTCTGGTCGTGTAGCCGTCGATGGTGCGACGAGCGGCAGTATAGTAGCACTATAAAAGATGGAATTGTTACTATGCTCACCCATGCCTAACATGACGACAACTACATTAAAAAATGTGGCAACGGGAAAGAGGTCGCACATAGTTTCCATCCAGTGATTCCAACCACAAGGGCCCCCGTCCCAGCGTATTCGATTGAGTGCTATGTCGATCCCATCAAAGTAGACGGGCTCGTACCTCTAATGTTCCCCACAATCTCATTTGCAATAATTTGTCTTGTCAACCGGTACTTCTCCTGATCAACAAAAATATAGCTCGCAATTACCCGAAATCCACAGTTCCCATCATCGGACACATCCAAGTAGCTCTCTACGTAGTCGTCATGCCAAATTATTCTCTCATGGTGGATATAGGATTCCTTTTCTTTCCAAGTGATCTCAAATAAATCCTACATGTCTTCCATGATTTGGACCCATTCATTATTTGGGTCTGCACTTCAACTTAAGCAAATCAACAAAATCAACTTATGGGCCATATTATTCCCTCTTTTCATGGGCTCATATTGGGCTGGTATGAGGCCGAGTATGGGCTACCCCCTTATTCTGAAGGCTGGAATTTTGTTTATTGATACATCGCCCGTAAAAATACTCCAATGTCCTAGAAATAAAGTATAAAAATATCAAAGTACAAAAATCCATCTAATAAATAAATAAGTTAGAAAATATATAAGTGCGATAAAATCAAGCATATAAAATACGCTAATAAATATATAAAACACGCACTTTTTCCGACCAATCATGTACAT